CGGAGGCGCCGCCCGGGGAGCCCAGCGCGGACCCAAGAAATCCGCGCGGAGCGCCAAAAGTTCATGCTTACGCCGACCTGCTGTCGGACCGGCCGACCTGCTGTCGGACTTTGTACCCGTTGCTTCCGCACCCCGATCGTCCCGAGCCTTAGGTCGGGCATGTTCAAAAAAACACTAATATTAGAAACATCGCCCCCAGACTATTGTTTGAATATGTTTGAACTTTCTTCCTGTACAAGGCCATGCCCGACTTAGCCCGAGCCAGGGCCGGCGCTTCCCCGACGGAGGGGGAGGAGGAGGAGGAGGAGGAGGAGGAGGAGGAGGAGGAGGAGGAGGAGGAGGAGGAGGAGGAGCAGGCGGAGGAGGAGGAGGAGGCGGAGGCGGAGGAGGAGGCGAAGGAGAAGGAGGAGGCAGGAGGAGGAGGAGGCGGAGGAGGAGGAGGAGGCGGAGGCGGAGGAGGAGGAAAAGGAGGAGGAGGCGGAAGAGGAGGCGGAGGAATAGGAGGAGAGGAGGGAGGATGAGGAGGAGGAGGAGAGGAGGAGGAGGAGGAGGAGGAGGAGGGAGGCGGAGGAGAGGAGGAGGAGGAGGAGGAGGAGGAGGAGGCGGAGGAGGAGGAGGAGAATGAGGAGGAGGGGCGCCTCTCCGCGCCCCGCGCCCGGCGGCGCGGGGCCTCCCCGCCCTCGCCCGCGGCCCGCCGCCGCTCCCGCCCGCGCGCTGGGGCGCGCCGCGCCGCGCCGCGGGAGCGGGACCTCTCAGGGGACGCAGGGAGGCATGCTAGCACTATACTCGGGGCCCGTGCACAAGAAACCTTCCCGTGCACAAGAAACCTTCCGCAAGAAGGGCCCGTCGTCCGGCGTGCAGGAGAGAGAGAGAGAGAGAGAGAGAGAAAAAAAAAAAGAGAGATGCGGAGACGAGGGCGGCCGCGCGAGGGGAGGAGGAGGGCGGTCAGACGTGGAAGAGTTCCGCGGCGAAGGCACACACACACACACACACCACACGGCGCGCAGAGCGCGCCAGAGGCGGCGCTGAAGGCGCCGCCAAAAGGGGTCCAGCACCGATCTAAGAGATCTGTGCGAACCTCCGACGATCTGTGCACGCGCTTTGGACTACAGTGGAGGCCCGTCCACAAGAAACCTTCCACAAGAAACCCAACCCTGAGACCCCAGGGCGTCCAGTGAGTCTCGGCGTGGGAATATCGCGCTCTCCAGCGCAAAACCATCGAGACCCAAGAAGCCCAGGGCACCCTGGAGGAGAGCGGGTTGTTTCTTGACATGGGCCTCCATTCCGGGGGGCGCACAGAAACACACCAGGACTAGCTGGGGGACGAATCAAAAACGGGTCTCACGCGAAATGGCATAGCGAGCTTACGCGGCGGCTTATGCGGGCCGCCAGCGCGGCACGCTACATTGGAGACGAGGGCGCTTTCGCGCGACCTTACGCGGGCAGCTTACGCGCGAATGTCGGCGCCGACGAACCCGTTTGTTGGCGTCGCTGATATGCCTGTCTTGGAAGCGCGAGTCCGACCCGAACATATAGTATAATTTCCCGAGACGGTGTGGCCAGAAAGCGCCCGCCACGGCGCATATGCTATAAGATCTCTCGGTGCGCGCGTCGCCCCTGGGGGGGGCAACGCACACATAGCATTAGTATGTTAGGGTGCAGTGACGCCGATCTCGGGGGAAGGCGGCGATGACCTCGCCATCGCTCGGACGTATATTCCCCGTGCGTTTTCGGAATGGGGGGAAATACCCCTACCCCTACCCTTGCCTTGTTTTCCATTCTGCGGGCCTCCTGTCGGGCCCTCGACGCCACCGCTGGATTCGCCTCGAGATTCTAGTCAGAACGCACCCCGGGAGAGGTATCGGTGCCTTCTGGCTTCCCCGCATTTGTTCAGGTTCGTGCGTATGTCTCTTCGTAAGATAAGCTAGATGACCCAAAATGCTCCACGGTGGTCCTCGCCGAGAAAAAAAGGAGCACGTCCGAGCGACGCCAGGTGACGATGGTGGTTGTGATGCTGATGCTCGTTGTGCACTTTTTCGTTAGCTGACCCAAGGCGCAGAGCCTGTAGCGCGTTCTTCTGGGGGCGTGCGAAGAGAAACGGAGAACTGGAGAGCCCGCAAGGGCATCGAGTATTAGACATGCAGGCGTCGGCAAGGTAGTCCTTCTCCTTCAGACAGACAGACAGAGGGCGAAACGCCCGAGGGCACGTCGGCGGGCGTTACTGCAGCGCGGTCACGTGTCGCCTCCAAGCACCATTCGTCTTGGACAAGGTCTTCCCACCAATGAGGTTCGCCATAAATCTGTCGCGCATGCGGTGGTAGAAACATTGCCCATTTCAATCAAGATCACCTGGTCTTCCTGACGAAGCTGTCCATGATGAGGGTCAACTTGCTGGGGACCGAGATGGAACCTCGAAGCGGATCTCCAGGCTCTGTTCGTGCAGGTTCTCCAAATAGAAGGAGATGTTGATCGACGAGGGCATTTGTCGACGGTGGACAAACCTCCCTTTAGTAAACCTCCCCTTAGTGAAAACGGCCTGGGACCGAAACCGACGGACCTGGACCCGCAAAAATGACGGCCGCGACGCCCTCTCGCGAACCGAAAACGGCCATTTCCTTACTCGACGTGTCATCAGGGTGGGAGGTCTGTCCACCCCCGACAACAAAAGAAGATGTTGATCGAGGAGGGCATTTGCCAGGGGCTCGTGTCGTGTCTGGCCCGGATGCCGCGCTCGGCGTTCGCGAAACCGTGGGGCTCATTGACCCCGCGGAGCCCGAGAGGAGTGGAGGAGCAGGCGGCAGGGCAGGGCCGCGGGCTCGCTCTCGACGCGGCCCTTCCCGGACCCCCGACGCCACACTGGTCTCGGGACGTCGACCCAACAAATCCTCCTCCTCCTCCTCCTCCTCCTCCCCCTCCTCCTCCTCCTCCTCCTCCTCCTCCTCCTCCCCCTCCTCCTCCTCCCCCTCCTCCTCCGCCTCCTCCTCCTCCTCCCCCTCCTCCTCCTCCTCCTCCGCCTCCTCCTCCTCCTCGACCCATTCCCCAGGGCCGCTTCCTCATCCCGAGTCGTCCTCGGATGGCCCCGAGGCTCAGCAAGGGCCCCCCAGAGGGAAAGAGCTGAACCCCCCCTCCCCTCCCGCCGTGGATGCTTCATGGCTTCAGTTTGCATGCCCGTGGGCGCCGCTGAATGGGTGGGGCGATCCATGGGGGGGGAAGAAAGGTGCACTTCTCGGGTCCTGAACGCCCCCCTTTGGGGAACCCACGAAGGACGTGCGCGCCCAACCATGCACATGAACACGGCCCCCCAATCCGCGAGACCCGCCGCGTGATGCGAACGCTCGCGCAACGCGTACTCTCGAAAACCATCGTGGACTCGCGTGCCGTCTCTGTTTCGCTGTTGACCCTTGTTCGGCCACGCAAGAGTGACCCTGGGTAAGAGTGACCTTTGGTGCGCGGCTTTGGGGGGGCCGCGGGGTGATCACACACACAGGCGCGCAAGGCGCTGCTATCGCATCACAGTCGGCGATCGGTGGACCCCAATGTGCCCGCACCAAAGGTCACTCCGGCGAAGGGTCACTCTTACGTCTAGTCGACTTTTGGGCCCGAGAGGGGCTTTCTTCAGGGGCCCTGCAGGGCCCCTCTTCTGCAACCCTCGCTGCCACCCCCCCCTTGATCGCCCCCCACTTCTGGCCGTCGCTCGGACGTCCATCCCCTGTGCTTTTCTCGGCTTCGTGCGTGGTTCTTTCACCAGATGATCAAGGATGCTCCTCGATGGTCCTCGACCGAAGGAAAATCGGGAGCGGCCAAGAGGGGGGTGCCCAAGAGGGGGGTGTGCAAATCATGACCAGCGGCATGTGCGCGGCCCAGCGGGGGGGCCAGGGACGTGATGAAACAAGAAGAGGCGCCATGAACTCTGGGGAAATATCATGGCCCCCGCCATGATATCCCCCCCCCTAGTCATCACCCCCCTCTTTTCCGCCCCCGAGAAACATGCACACGTCCGAACGATGCCAATATCTACGCGACGCCCAGAACTCCCCGGCCTCCGCCGCCGGGAGCCGCCGCCGCGGCGGCCGCGCTCCGAGCCGCCGCGCCTCGCGCGCAGGGGGGCACGCGGGCGGCGAGAGCAGGCAGGACTGGCCTCGCCATCGCCCGGGCGTCCATTCCCGGTGCACTCTGCGACTTCGCGCGCGCACGCTTCGCAGGATCATCCAGGATGCTCCTCGATGGTCCCCGCCGAGGAATAGATGCACACTTCCGAGCGATGCCGAGTTACGCGAGATGGGGATCGCGGGGTAGGGATGGGTGCCCAGAGATCCGACGTCGTGACTTTGTCCATGCGCGGTCCCCGGAAGTCTCGACCCATTCCCCACGACCCGTTTTTCATCCCGAGCCGTGTTTGACGGTCCCGCGGCCTGGCGAGGGCCTCTGGAGGCTGAATTTTGGTAGAAAAACCTTCGTCTTGATTCTTGTGAATACGTTGGTTCTCTGGGTTGAGCGACACCAGCATCAGGTCGGGCATGTCCTCCTACAGGCGGATTCTGGAGGAAAGATAGAACGAGTCCGAAAATACTCAAACAGAAGCACCCACACGTAATCAAACACCTCGTCCCCACCCGATGTCTTGAATTGGGGGGCGGAAAGATACGGATACGTGTTGTCCCCGGACCTCTCTTGGGGTGCGTTCTGACCAGAATTTCGAGGCGAATCCAGCGGTGACAACGAGGATTCCCCAGGAGGACCAGGAAAGGCCGAAAACGAAGGGGGACAACACGTATCCGTATCTTTTTCTCCCCCGATTGAATATTTTTGAACACTCTTCCTGTCGAGGGACACGCCCGACGAAATACCAGCAGGGGCCACCCCCCCTCTGCGCGTGGGGCCGATCATCGCCCCGGGGTGGCCTCGCGCGGGCACCGCGGCGGCGTTGCTCGCCCCTCGCCGGCGGCGAGCCCGCGGCGGCCCTCCTGGGGGAGCAGCCGGCACAGCCGCCGCCAGCCCGGCGAGAGGAGGACCGGGACAGGGATGGGTTGCACGATGCTCCTCCTCCTCCACCTCCTCGTCTTCCTCCTCCTCCACCTCCTTCTTTTCCTCCTCCTCCTCCTCCTCCTCCTCCTCCTCCCACTCCTCCATCCCTTTCTTACAGATAATTTCTCCCTGTCGCACCCCGTGGCCAGTTTTGAAGGCGGGCCGGGCGTTTCGCCTGAGACTTCCTCACCACTTATGACTCTGACGCTTAAAAATTGGCAAGCAAGGGGTTCACAGATGGAGGGCGGGTCGTTTTCAAAATGTGGCTCTCGCCTTAGCGCGATGCATATTCGTTTTGGAAAATTGCAAGAGCTTCACGGATTGAGGGCGGGTCGTTTTCAAAATGTGGCTTGCCTTAGCGCGGCTCACATTCGATTTAACAACTTGCAAGAGCTTCACGGATTCAGAACGGGTCGTCTTCAAAATGTGGCTCTCACCTTAGCGCCGCGCGCATTCGTATCACAAATGAGCAAGAGCTTCGCGGATTGAGGGCGGGTCGTTTTCAACATGTGGCTCTCGTCTTAGCGCCGGCGCACATTCGTTTTAACAATTTGCAAGAGCGTCACGGATTGAGGGCGGGTCGTTTTCAACATGTGGCTAACGATGTGTGAACGAATGTGTGCGGCGCAAAAACGAGAGCCACATGTTCAAAAGAAACCGCCTTCAATCCGCAAAACTCTTGCAATTTTCAAAACGAACGTGCGCCACGCTAAGGCGAGAGCCACAGTTTGAACAGGAACCGCCCTCAATCCGTCAAACTCTTGCATTTTTTGAAGAATGTGCGCCGCGCTAAGGCGAGAACCACAAATTGAAAACGACCAAACCTCAATCCGCGAAGCTCTTGCAACTTTGTAAAACGAATATGCGCCGCGCTAAGGCGAGAGCCACATTTCGCAAACCACCCGCCCTCCATCTGCTGCGAAACTGTTGCCAATTCTGAAGCTGCAGAATCATAAATGGTGAGGAAGTCTCCGGCGAAACGCCTGCACCGCTCAAAAAACTGGCCTCGGGGTGCGAGGGGAGAAATTCTTTAGAAGGAAAAGGAATGACGGAGGAGGAGGAGGAGGAGGAGAAGGAGGAGAAGGAGGAGGAGGAGGAGGACGAAAGGGAGGACGACGGAAGGGAGGAGGAGGAGGAGGAGGAGAGGAGGAAGGAGGAGGAGGGAGGACGAAAGGGAGGAGGAGGAAAGCGCGCCTCCGCGCGCGCCGCGCCGGCGAGCCGCCCGCACGCGCGCTGGCCCGCCGCGCTGGCGACCGCCGGGCGCGGCCGCCGCGGCCCGGCGACGGCGCGGTGGGGCTCCTCCGCGGCGACGCGGTCGGCGCTCGACGACGGCGACGAGGCCGACGACGACGGCGACGAGGCCGACGAGGCCGACGACGCCGACGACGACGGCCACGAGAAAGAGGCGGCGGGGGCCTGGGACTGTCGGCGCTCGACGACGGCGACGAGGCCGACGACGACCCCGAAGACGAAGCCAGGACGAGGAGAAGACCAGGCGAGGAGGACTCTGAGATGCCTCGGGCGGCTCTGAGATCTGGCGGCTCTGGGGGACTCTGAGATCTGGCGGCTCTGGAGGATGCCTCGGGCGCCGCGGCCTTCTCAGCGCGCTCCCGGACGCTATTGGAGCGTCCCGGAACGCCCTGCAGCGGCTTCATCCTCGCCCTGGCCCCGCCAGACGACGACGACCCCTCGAAGCCTGGAGCTGCGTTTTTTCCCATCGTGGGCGTGTTCGCAGGGCTTCGGGCCCCGGGAGAACATCACAGGTCGATCGGTGCAGCTCGGGAGATGGCACAGAAAGGTAGGGCATATTCGCGTCATCTTCGCGATGCTGTACTTTTCACAACGTCGAATCTCAGGGACGGCGACGACGCCGACGATGGCGTCGATGCCGACGGCGTCGACGATGGCGTCGATGCCGACGACGTCGACGTCGACGACGAGCACGTCGTTGACGACGATGACGTCGACTTCGACGACGCCGACGACGAGCACGCCGTCGACGACGATAGCGTCGACATCGATGACGCAGCCGGGGACCACGTCGTCGACGATGACACTATCGACGACGACGCCGACGACGGTGCCGACGACGACAGTCTGATTGTTGTTCAACACGGCGGGTTTCCTCGATCTCGGCCCCACAAGGGCCGATCTCGCGCCCAGCAGGGGCTATCCAGAGTGGATTCGTTCGGAAGCCGGAAGGGCCACCGAGCGGGCTCGATTCTGACAAGCTCGTGGGGCTCGAACCCGATCGGTGGCCGCATGGGCTCGATCTTGAGTCCGCTGGGCGGCCGGACCAGTCTCAGACGCCGAACGGTCGCAGAAGGCAGCCCTGGGCGGGAAGCTGTCCACGGGTGATGTTGCTCCCATCGTGCTGAAGAACCACATCTCAGAACTGATTTCGAGCACCCCAAGAAAGTATCGAGGCAGTGTCGAGCGAATATCGCCTCCCAGGGCCCCACACGTGAAAACCCTCCAGTTTCGGCACTTCCCAGGTGCTCGAAGTTCTTCCTGGTGGTCAAGGCTGCAGTAGGTCGGAACATCATAATCCACGAGGAAGGGGCCAAGGGGGTCAGGGCTCCGAGGAGGCGGCGGCGACTCGGAAGCCGCCACGCGCGCGGCGGTGGCGCGCGCCGCGGCGGCGCGCGAGGCCTCCCTCTGCGGCGGCGGCGGCGACTCGGAGGCCGCCACGCGCGCGGCGGTGGCCCGCGCCGCGGCGGCCCGCGAGGCCTCCCCTCGCGGCGGCGGCGACTCGGAGGCCGCCTCGCTCGCGGCGGCGGCGCGCGCCGCGGCGGCGCGCGAAGCCTCTCGCGCGCCCTCGTCCGCGGACGCCGCCGCCTCCCAGTCCTCCGGGTCGGACGCGCCGCCCCGCGCCGCCCCCGCCGCGGCCGCCCTGGCCGCCTCCGCCTCGCGCACCTGCGGAACGCTGAGGAGGGGGGCCCAGAAGCACGAGCGGCGAGCGCATCCGTACCCACGCCTTCGCGGGTCTGGCTGGATTCCAGGGCGCGGTCCCGCGGATGCGCTGCCGCACGAATATGCTCCGCGCGGGGATTCCGCGAACCAAACGCGCCGTAATTATCCGAGGGGGAGCGGCCCAGGGGCCCAGCACGCAAGGCCGCGGCTACGGATGCGCTTCTTCCTCGCGAAGGAAGGGGTGGGGCGCTTCTTATAGCCCGATGCATGACCGCGGATGGGGGGTGGCCAGTGCGCGTGCTGGAAGCGATGGAAGAGAGGAGAAGAAGCAGAGGGCGCCCCTAAGTGTGGCGGTGGCCCGCGGCCCCTGCCATGACCATCTAGCGGCGCAGCCGGTGCGGGACAGCAGGAGACGTGGGACATCCTGGGAGCCTTGGAGCTCCTGGAACGCATCATGACCATGACTTCTCGCCCCTCTGCCACACGCCCGAACACTGGGCGCCCCTGGGCACCTGGTCTGCGCCCTTGAGCTCCACCCTGCGCCGCTTCCGCAGCACCGGTGCGCGGCCCGCGTCCTGAGCTGGCCTCGAGTCCCCGAGAGGAAGAACAAAAACACATACATATAGATGTTCGACGGTCCGCGCGCGGACTTCTTGGATGTGCGCTGGGCCCCCCTCCCTGGCGCGCGGAGCGCGCCAGGGGCGGCGCCGCCAGGGGGCCCCAGCGCAGATCCAAGAAATCAGCGTGGAGCGCCGAAAGTTAATGCTTATGTGTTTTTTCCTTCTTCGATTCCCAAGGGGGACTGTCTTCGATTCTGCGGCCATCGCCCGTCTTGTCCGCTGGGGGTAGAAGAGAGGACCGAGTTTGCACAGATGCACAGGTCGGTCCTGGCCACGCCCATGTTGAGACCAGGATCGGTGCATACGCCCTCCTGGCTGGGACATGGATGCATGTGCACCGATGCCGAACCCTGGGTGGGCCTGGACAGGATCGGTGTATGTGCATAGTTCTCTCAGAGGCCTCCTAGATGGGGTAGATGGGGTCGGAGGATCGCGGCGCATCGCCGATACATAGGTGATACATCGCCGATGAATCGGCGATGCATCGGCGATGCACCAGCGATGCGTCGCCGACGTGGGCGATGCATCGGCGACGCCGACGTGCAGCGGACCGGGCTGCACATCGGGCCGCATCGCCGCCGCATCGACGATGCTGCGCGATCCTTCGACCCCATCTACTCCGACCCCATCTACTGGCCATCGCTCGGACGTCCATTCCCTGTGTTTTTTTTCGGTTTCGTGCGTGGTTTTTCCACCACGTGATCAAGGATGCTCCTCGATGGTCCTCGCCGAAGGAAAGATGCACACGTCCGAGCGACGCCAAGTCTATGGGAGGCCCAGATCTCTTCGCCCGATGAGGAGGAGGATGATGAGGAGGAGGAGGAAGAGGAGAAGGAGGAGGAGGAGGAAGAAGAGGAGGAGGAGGAAGAGCACGAGGAGGAGGAGGAGGAGGAGGAGGAGGAGGAGGAGGAGGAGGAGGAGGAGGAGGAGGGGGGATGTGCCGGCCGATGTCCCAGTCTCGTCGCTGTGGGCAGCCCAGCCCCACGCATGCCAGCGCGCACCAGCCGCTCGGACCTGCGCAACCGACAGGGTCGCGCTATGCTCAGGTCGGGCCTGTCCTCCTACAGGAGGTTTTTGGGGCGAAAGATCAAAAATAACCCAAACATGCAGCAACATGCTGGAAAATAATCAAACATCGTCCCCAGACTATGTTTTGACTATTTCGGAATACTCCCCCTGTAGAGGGACACGCCCGACTCAACGCTATCCAAGGGGTGATGGGGGGGGCGGGCCAGAGGATCCGGGTTCGCCGGGCCCCGCAGGAAAAACAGCCTCCGCCCACCGCCGTGAAGCAATCCCGACGGACGGTCTCTGTCTGCGCTCGGGCCCCAAGACCGTCGCAGAGCGGTTCGGGGCGACAAGCCGATCCCAGGGAGCCCAGACCTGGGACGTCATGACTTCTTCAAGACGTTAACCCTCAGAGGTATCGACCCATTGCTCGGGACCAGTTTTTCATCCCGAGTCGTTTTTCGACGGTCCCGAGGCCCCGTCAGGGCCCCCAAGGCCCGAAAACAGCGACAAACCTCCCGTCGTGATTTTTTCATGACTCGAGGGGGTTAGGGAGGGGGTCCAGACCTCGAGGGATCCACGTCGCGAGAGAAACAACACACGACATCGGAGTTCTGGGCACCCTTATCTCTAGGACTGGCACGCCCAGGGCGATGGCACACCAGAAACTGGGCGAATGCTGCTCAAAATCGGGAAGGATAGGAAGCGATTCCGAATAAGGATGAGGATATGGGTTCTGGCTGGTCAGTCCTCCGAAGCGCCATCGTCGCCACGGAGCACTGCACGGGGCTCCTGTAGAAGCAGGGAACATTGCATAACCCTCGCATTTCATCGGTCCGCCCGGCTTGCTTGGATCGGCGATGGACCCCCTTCCTGCCAAGCGAAGCGCACCTGGGGCGGCGCCGGAGGCGCCGCGGGAACCCAACGCCGACCCAACAAGTTTGCGCAAGGCATCGGACATTCGTGTTTCCCAAATATTCCTGTTGCGTCCTCGGGGGACCTGGTCCGTATACAATCGCGCCCCCATCCGCGTCGAATCCGTGTCGACTCCATGACGGGCTCGTCGCATCCGTGTCGAATCCACGTCGAACTCACGTCGAATTCGTCCGCGCCAAAATCCGCGTCGAGTGCGCATCGAGCCCGTGTTGGGCCCCCGATGGGGCACCAATTTGGGGGACAGACGATGTCCTCCCCCAAATTGGGTCCCGACGAGGCCTCCCCAAGATGCCGTGTAGCTCAACAGGTTGCCTTAGGGATCTGGAACTTTTGGCGGCGAGCGAGGGGGGGAAATGAGAAGGAGAGGGCCTTTTCAGAAGGCGGCGGGACTTCTCAGAAGTCCTCGCGCCGTCTGAGGAGTGTTTTTTGTCTCCCGGGAAGGCTCAGAAAGCTTCTCAGAAGGCCGAGGGACTTCCGAGCCTTCTGAGAAGGCCTTCTCCTTCTCACTTCCCCCCCTCCTCCTCCTCCTCCTCTCCTCCTCCTCCTCCTCCTCCTCCTCCTCCTCCTCTCTCCTCATCTCATCATCATCATCATCATCATCATCATCATCATCATCATCATCATCATCATCATCATCATCATCATCATCTCCCCCTCCTCCTTCACCTCCCCTCCTCCTCCCCCTCCTCCCCCCCCTGGCGCGCCGCCGATTTTTTTTTCTGACGCGAGGGGGCGAGAGCCACCGAAATCGGAGGCCCCTCGTGGCCCTCGCCCCCCCTAAAACCGACCGTGTGACTGCGCCAAGCTGCGGGGGGCCTCCTGCCGCAAGAGGTGCGCGTGCTGGGAAGGGGGCGACACTTCACCAATACCGCTACAGTTACACGTCGTTCAATTCTAATCGCGTTCATTTCTAATTGCGCTCGTTTCTAATTCTTCCTGTCCCCCCAGTGGCCAGGAGAAAACCCAGAATAGAACAATCAGAAATGAAAAGGTCCCGGCTCCAAAACAAATCAAAGAACTTTCGAATAATTGGAAATGAGCATCGTGTAAGTCGGGCATGTCCTGCGGATGGTGGAGGAAACATACAAACTGGTCAAACAACTATCAAGCATGAACAATAATGATCAACCATGGTATAAACATCGTCCCCATCCGATTGTTTTCCCGTGCTGCTCTTTTTCTACCAGCCTTTGTAATACTGGTCTTCGGTGGCGCCCTCCCCTATGCACATCATGATGCGATACGCAGCGCAGCTACCGAGAGACGGCGCCAGTGCAAGTGGCTTTTAAAGCCCGTGCAGCGCTCGTACTAAAAAGCATTCTCTCCCAGTGATGGCTCACGCACTGAAGGTGTGACAATATGGGGGGGTGGTAGTGGGCACCAAAAGGCTTCGGCATCTTGATTTTGTTGTGCGAGAAACTAGTCACATAGGACACCTCCGGGGCCGTGGGACTTCTCATGCTGATCTTTTTCTGCCAGCCGTTGCAATGCTGGTCCCTCGATGGTGCCCGCGCCTGTGCACATCAGGATGCGATGCGCAGCGCAGCTACCGAGAGACGGCGCCACAAGTGGATTTTAAAGCCCATGCAGCGCTCGTGCTAAAAACCAGTCTCTCCACGCCCCCCCACGATGGCAAAGCTAAAGGAAGAAGTTTTACTCGAGGAAGTCGCAGAACTCAGCGCGACATTGTGCGATCAGAATCGTTTGCTCTTGCGTCGACACTTTTCCGTTGAACCACCTCTGCGCAGAGTCTAGGTATTGACGCGCAGTCCAGGAATTCTGCACCTTCCAATCTCCATGGCAAGATCTAGCGAGGCAATTTCCTCAAAGTGCGAAGTCGCACCACCACAGCGTAGCAAATAAGGGTTAAAATGATCAGGATCAAGCCTCAATATCTGAAGGTACCTCTCGAACGACGTGCGGAAGTGCAGCTCGCCCTTGCTGATGAGGCGAAATCCTGGTATCCTGTCCTCAAGAGCAAGACCCAACAATAAGATGACGCCTTCATCTGTGGCGGTGACCTTCTCCTCCTTCTCTCTGCGCTTACCTCCCTTCGTGTGGCCTAGATTGATGATGGCCCTAGATTGATGGAAAGTGAAATCCTCCCGCACGCGAATGCGCATCTCCCCTGTGCGCAAGAACAGCTTGAAACCCATGTAACACGCCGCTGCCAGGCAGATGTCGCTCTCCCGCAGCGTCAAAGCAGCCATGGCCTGCACTTAGCTCACTCCACGCCGGCGGAGCCCGCGAGGGTGATTCGAACGACTGGCAGAAGCCCAAGAGACAAAGGAGGAGGATGAGGAGGAGGAGGAGGAAGAGGAGGAGGAGGAGGACGAGGAGGAGGAGGAGGAGGAGGAGGAGGCAATTCTCTTTCAGATGATCCCTGCAAGCTGGTATGAAGTGCTGCATCCCGCGCACCAGACCCGCAGCCTCGGAGCGTGATCCCCCGTGCTCCCAAAGCTGCTCAAGCCCACCCCCAACAGCTTCGTCCAAACCGAGTGTGGATTCGGGATCCGGCATACACTTGGAATCAAGCTCCATAAAGTATGACGATACAACTTGTGAGTAACGCTTCTAGGTTCTTTTCGATATCAGCACGTTCCGCAGTTTGCCTAATCTGCGACGCTTCAACTGTCGGTACTCTCGCCGCCCTCAAGCACGATCGTCGGACCACTATCTTGGCGGCTCGTCGGCCGGGCTACCCCGGTCCATATGTACATGTAGTAAGGGTGGCAGCAAGCAGCCAAGCATAGAGCATCACATATTTTCACTGCGGCTTTCAATGTAGTTGCTGAACTTCGTCCTGTCCCCATGGCGCCAATGGTAATCTCATAATCACCTGCATGAGACAACTTGCATCCTGTCTCGCATAGGTTTCGTCGTCGGGCTTGCAAATTAAAGATAGTCGACTTCAGCTCCAAATATTAATATGATGTGGTACATGCGGACTGTTTTTTTTTGAAACAAAAAAAACCTTCCACTCCCAGTGGGCCGGCTCGATGGATAGCCTCGGCAATGCTGTAGAATTCAAACACGTCCCTGTAGCAATGCGAACGCCGGCCCCTGTAAAAGCAGAACTCCGCACGAACGAATCCAAGTGCAAGGCGTGCAACTCCTCGTCGGAGAGCTCGCCGACTTCAGTCTCAGCACTTTGTCGAACAAAAATTGTCCTCCTCCTCGTCTGGGTGGCCCCATGCTCGACCGGCGGCGGCACTTCCTTTAAGGGCGTTCCACTCGACAAGACGAAAAGTCCGCATGTCTATGCCGAAAAGTCCGCGAGCATCGACGCTGCCGTGCACCTCGAATTGACGATCCATCCATGCCACAATAGGCCGGTCAACGTGCATCCAACCATGAGGGTTGATAAGCAGCGGCCGGAGACCAAAAGCCGCCGTGACATACTGGATGAGAGCTTTATCGATGTCCAGGTTCGCACCTCCATAGGTGACAAAACGGGCCAATTCGAGCCAGTCCCACTTGTTTCGGATTCGTTCCTCTACCTCCCTTGCCTCCGAAATTTGACGGCTGAGCCTCTGGCGAGCAATGTGGGCGTCCTTACCAGCGCGATCGAGCTGCACCACAATCACGAGCCTCTCGAGGTGCGCTGCGCGCTGCATCAGCTGAGGCAGCCTCACCAAGACGCTCCCCAAATGTTACAGATAGCAGGACGCCCGGCCACGCCTGGTTCATGGCCCGGCGCCCCTCCTCAGCGCGCTCGATGGCCGCGTGGGCGGCAAGGTCGACCCTGGGCAAGTCCAAGCCGCGGCGAGCAGGCCCAGCGCCAGCGTTGATTTCCAGCAATCCTAGGACGTCTCGGCCTCGAGCGCCATCGCAGCCTGCTTCACAACCTGCTCTCGCCCAATGCGGGTGACGCGCCGCGACGCGCGCGCCCCCGATCCAGTTTCTGAGGCGTCTGAACAAGTGAGCCTGTGAGATACCGGCGAACGCGCGTTGAAGGAAGCGAGGGGCGCCAAGACGATCATCTGCAAGAACTCGCAGCGCACCTCAAATCGCATTCCGAGATGTAGGGCTGGATTCTTCGATGTATTTCTAGGTCTCGTTCAACCCTGCCAAGAACTCCCGCCTGAAAGTACACGTGCGATTCCACGCCCCACTCAGCATCTGAAGGTCCTCCTTCGACCTCGCGCGGGCCCCGGCGACGTAATCCGCAAGTCCGGCCGCATGGCCAACGCGGAGCTGTCCAGGCCTCAAGAACCCATCCAACCCGTTCACTTGGCCCCCAACCGCCTCGGACAGAGATCGGCCTCTTCTGACTTCGACGACATGGGCGGCCCCCAGGCCTCGAGAACTGCGCGAGACCTGAGCTGATGATTGCTCTCCCCCTGCGGTGGTTTGGACTCGCCAAGATGTCCCGTGACCGCATGGACAGGGACCGCCCTGGGGAAGTCCGAATCGCAGCAGTAAGCATGCCGCAGCCCATCGAGATCCCGGGCGCCCTGGATTAATGGCGGTACCGCCCTGTCTTTTCGCATTTCCCGCGGCAGCGGCGAGCTCAAGCTCTGCCCGGCCACGGGCAAGAGGTAAATGCGCCGCAAAGCGTGCTGAATCAAACTCATCGCGCTCTTGTACCCCATGGGCATGGCCACGGATCCCCACCAAATCGCCGCAGCGGGGTCGACAGAATCTTGGTCGAGCCTGATTTCGGAGGCTGTGAACTGCATGTTGAATGCAAATGCTGGCGCCCACGACCGAGGCAGCCGAAATACATAAAAGCATCCCTTGAGATCGTCGTACCCCCAAGTCAAAACCGTCTGGCTATAAAATTGTGTCGAACGCCATTGTGCATAGTATGGTAGCTTGGCGATGTCCCCGGGAACTCCGTGCTCATCTGGTTC